GTACATGCCCTTGACCGGAATCGAACCTGGGACCCTTCATTCTGCAGGCCGACACTCTAGCCACTGAGCCAAACTGGTTAGGGCAGGAGTGTAATTTTTATATTTATCTCATAAGGCCAGGAGCATAATTGAGGTGGCAATGAAGTTGAGGAGTGGTTAATACCCAAAAGTGGTGTCTTCAAACAATATTTTAATAACTAACATATTGATGTTATGATTATATACCTATGCTGAAAATATATTAAAGTATGGCCCTAAGACATAAAAAGGAGTTAGATCAAAGTGTAGTAACACTCTCAACATTGCATGGTAGTCTTTTCTCCCTAGTCCTATACACAGGTCCTGCCCCAGACATGCCTTTCATGTTACCTGTCTTTGTTTATGGTGGAAAGAAATGACCTTTTTCTTTATACCTATTTAGCAATGTTTGCAAAACAAACATGTATTTTAAAATGTATACACCTCATCATGTTAAGAATCTTTATTATTCTCAATGTTTCTAAAATAATGAGACAAGCAACACATATCATTTGTGGACATGGTCTCATTGAATCAGTGAGCCAGCTCCTGAAATGGGCATTGACCTCTTTTGACATGGAACATTATATTCAGCTAGGAATCATAGCATATTTGGTGTTTTTGTTATTATAAAGAAAATTATCATTAATTGTAGAAAAAAAAGGCACAATGATTGGCCCTTTCAGAATTAGATAAATCTGAAGTTGTCAGGCTTTTCTTTGTACTCATCTTTATGCCATATCCTTCCCAGTTTTGTTATCCCTCATAGGTACTGACATCAAAGGATCTTTAGGTGACTTTTAAAAGGACACTCTCTTAATATGTTTGTAAAATCAATGGCAGAGGGTGTTCTGGGCACATGGTTTTCTTTTACAATGATGTTCATTCAGTAAGGCTCAAAATCTATTTCTATTTTATGTGCATATTTATGTGCTTCAAAGATGAGAGTTCTTAAGATGTGAAGCAGTACGGTAGAAGGAGAAAGGCAATGAGTCCTGACTGCATGTGGGAGCAGATGTATCAAGCGAGCTGTTCTCCTTTCCCATCTGGCATTATTAGCTCTTTTCCACTGTCCAAAGTAGCTTTAATAAGGTGGATTTCAAAAGTCAAGGTTCTTTTTTGTAAGTGCTTTTAGTATTAGACTTTTACTTGGAATTTCAATCTTGCCCATGCCTGCCTTTCCTCCCCCCATCTTCATGTGATTTCTACAATATTATTTTCCTTCAATTATTCTCTTTTGTCTCTACCTACCTTGGCACCTCTTCTGCTTGTCCTCAAAGCACTGGCATTTTTTTACATGTCATCACCACCTTCTTCTCTATACCAGGCTCTATCTATACAGTACCATCCACTCATACTACATCCACATCACCGCCTCCTCATTTCTCCTGACTTTCGGACCCATCTTACAAACATTCTTTTAAATAGCCTCATCAGAATGACTTGCAGGCACTTGAATGTTCAATGTCCCCATGAGATTTTAATTTTATTTTCCAGCTAACTTGCTCTGTATCCCGTATAGTGTAAGCAAACACATTAACTTTTTCATGTTCCTGCTTGGCCAATATATTATCAAGTTGAGTTAATCCTACCTCTAAAATATCTTGTACATCCATTTCTTTTTTTTCTTTTTTTTCTCTGCCTTGGTTCAGGCTCGTTGACTTTCTGAAATAAAATATTGCAATTAGGTATTTAACTAGTCATTCTTTCTCCAAGTCCTCTTCCTACCAACCAACCCACCCTTCAAAGTCCACTCAGTGATTCTTCTAGAGCCAGGACAGCGTTCTTAAAAACAAAACAGAACAAAATATGGTGATTTCCCATTACTTGTAAGATAAAGCTTAAATGTCTTTGCAGAACCTGCACAGTTTGACCTCAGGGTACCTTATTCAAATTCTATTGACTTCCTGCAAGTTCTTTCTCTGTTTCTCCTCCCTATCAGTGCTCCCCACGGCTCAGAGGCTATTTTCTAGTCTCAAGTTTGACATGTCCTTTTCAGCTTGGTTCTTTTGCCCAGTTTGTTCCTTATGCTCAGAAGAACTCCTCTGATCCAATCTCTATCTTCTTAACCCTCAAACCTCTTTTATCTTTCAGGTCTGAGGATCTTATTTTCTGCTACATCCCAACCTTTTACCTCTGACTGTGCCTCCTACAATGTTGTACATAGTATTGGTCACATCACTGTTATTTGCTGAATTGATTCTCCCATTGGACTGGGACGTCCTTGAAGGCAAACACCATGTCTCATTCTTATACTTCTACTAGAGGCCTGGTGCATGACATTCGTGCACTTGGGAAAGGGGGGGTGTCCCTCAGCCAGGCCAGTACCCTCTCGCAGTCTGGGACCCCTCAGGGGATGTTCACGTGCGGCCTAAGCGGGTTTAAGCTGGCAGGCAGACAACCCCCGAGGGGTTCTTAGCTCCTGCCACCTCCATGGCACGCCCCCTGTGGGAGCACTGCTCAGCCAGAAGCCAGGCTTGCGGCTCCTGAGTGCTGCCTTGGAGGCGGGAGAAGCTCCTGCCACCGCTGCTGCGCTTGCCAGCCGTGAGCCTGGCTTCTGGCTGAGTGGCACTCCTGTGGAAGCGCACTGACCATTGGGGGAAGCTCCCGCATTGAGCGTCTGCCCCCTGGTGGTCAGCGCGCATCATAGTGACCAGTTGTACTGCTGTTTGGTCAATTTGCATATTAGGGTTTATTATATAGTATTATTTAATGCAATATTAGCAGAGTGTCACTATATAGTTATTGAATTATTAATACAACAACATAAATTGGGGTTTTGAAAGGGTCTGGCAACTTTCCTATGGACCCTCAAACCTCTTTTATCTTTCAGGTCTGAGGATCTTATTTTCTGCTACATCCCAACCTTTTTGATTGATATTCGCTTTTAGACATTGCCCTGCTCCTCTACTAATCTAAGTGAAAGAGAGAATATGAGTATTCAAGACAGTCTTGATAACAGTTGAAACCTGCTCTGATTCTCTACCCAAACTGAGTTGTTCTAGAGCAGTGGTGGCGAACCTTTTGAGCTCAGCGTGTCAGCATTTTGAAAAACCCTAACTTAACTCTGGTGCCGTGTCACATATAGAAATTTTTTGATATTTGCAACCATAGTAAAACAAAGATTTATATTTTTGATATTTATTTTATATATTTAAATGCCATTTAACAAAGAAAAATCAACCAAAAAAATGAGTTTGCGTGTCACCTCTGACACGCGTGTCATAGGTTCGCCATCACTGTTCTAGAGTGTTTTCTTGACTGTTGGCACTACTGGAAACCTTTCACATCATCCCATTGAAGGCAAAAATATCCACTGCTTCTGGTCATTAAACAGTTTAATAGCTGAACTTATGCTCATCCTTTGTTAATGTAAGTTTTACTATCTACTCAACCTGTCATATTTTTTTTGGTTGTCATAGTAGCACTTTCAAGAATATATGCTTTCTTTCTAATATTTTTAGGTTTTGGTTATGTAAAGGAAGATTTATTTTAGGAAAATATTTTTGCTCTCAAGTCCTATTATAAGTAATTCATTTACATAAAATATTACTCAGTGGGATTCAGAGTATATAGTAGTTAGTAATACTAATGTTGAACACTCAACATAGTTCAGGCACTCTCTGTCTTAGTGTTTTAAATGGAGTATTCTGTTTAATTCTCACAATAGCTCTGGGAAGGAGTGGATATCATTCTCCTACTCTTTCGAAGAGTGAAACAGAAACATAAACAAGTTAAGGAACTTGGCTGCATCATACATCACATCCTGAATTGAGATTCAGGCGGTCTGACTCTGGAGCTCACACTCATAATTGCTACAGCTGTGGAGAGTATAATTGAGAACTAAATTTCTATTCTACTTGAAAATCAGAGGTTTGTCTGCCTGCCATAATCTTATAATCCTTTCAAATATATTGGTTCTTCTTCCTTGAAATCATGTCTCCTGCTTCTACATTTTTTCCTTCCACCCTCCCAGATGCCACTGGTAAATTGCACTTTAATTCCCTTTTCCTCCTTCTTTGGGACAATTTCATTACTGCTTCATGAGCCAGTGCACCATGGATGTACAGCCCCTGTAGATTGACCATTATGTATGGGATATTGTGTATTAGATGTTTTCATTTATGTCCCTTTTCCTAAACCACATTTTAAAACCCTTAAGATAAAAAAGTATGTCTTATGCAATATGTTCCTTACTTATAATAAATGATAATAAACATTTTCTTCTGACCTGTTGAAAAATACCAGAGTCTTTGCAAAACTAAGTTTTCTGACATGATTGTGATATGGATTAACAAAAGTCTATAGGATGTTGGTTGACATATTTCAGAGAGTCATACAGTTTTAAAGCTTATAGTAATTCTGAAGTAGAAAAAAGAATTATAAAATTTTACTTTAAAACTGTTTAGATTTTGGTGGTAAGAAAACATAACTTTAGTTTGATTTCTGTTTGAATTCAATTTGCTTTATTCATGTTAGATGAACTAGTGACTCATCAAAGTCAATGTTTTTACAGTCTTTTTGTCAGGTTTAGTGGTGGCTTTCTTTTCTATTTCTTTTCTTTTCTTTTTTGAATCCACCTACACCTCATCCCTTACATCATTATGTAAAACCAGAAGTGGTGCCGAAACCGGTTTGGCTCAGTGGATAGAGCATCGGCCTGCGGACTGAAAGGTCCCAGGTTCGATTCCGGTCAAGGGCACATCCCCGGTGGGGAGTGTGCAGGAGGCAGCTGGCCGATGTTTCTCTCTCATCAATGTTTCTAACTCTCTATCTCCCTCCTTTCCTCTCTGTAAAAACTCAATAAAATAAAAAAAAACCAGAAGTGGTATTTTGTTACATATTAATAAATATTGGACAGATGTTGAAGGTACTTTAAGAAGTGTCATTATTTGATTCTGCGCCTCTCTGAACGGGCTTTGATCTGTGTGCTGGATGTTCAGACACTGAGATGTAAATGCCATTTTCTGTTCTGTTTTCAGGTCACGTGTGCCAATTTAACAAATGGTGGAAAGTCAGAACTTCTAAAATCGGGAAGCAGCAAATCCACACTAAAGCACATATGGACAGAAAGCAGCAAAGACTTGTCTATCAGCCGCCTCCTGTCACAGACTTTTCGTGGCAAAGAAAACGATACAGATTTAGACCTGCGATATGACACCCCAGAACCTTATTCTGAGCAAGACCTCTGGGACTGGCTGAGGAACTCCACGGACCTTCAAGAGCCTCGGCCCAGGGCCAAGCGAAGGCCCATTGTTAAGACGGGCAAGTTTAAGAAAATGTTTGGATGGGGTGACTTTCATTCCAACATCAAAACAGTGAAGCTAAACCTGTTGATAACTGGGAAAATTGTAGATCATGGCAATGGGACATTTAGTGTTTACTTCAGGCATAATTCCACGGGTCAAGGGAATGTATCTGTCAGCTTGGTGCCCCCGACAAAAATAGTGGAATTCGACTTGGCACAACAAACCGTGATTGATGCCAAAGATTCCAAGTCCTTTAACTGTCGCATCGAATATGAAAAGGTTGACAAGGCCACCAAGAACACACTCTGCAACTATGACCCTTCAAAAACCTGTTACCAGGAGCAGACCCAAAGTCATGTATCCTGGCTCTGCTCCAAGCCCTTCAAGGTGATCTGTATTTACATTTCCTTTTATAGTACAGATTATAAACTGGTACAGAAAGTGTGCCCCGACTACAACTATCACAGCGACACACCTTACTTCCCCTCGGGATGAGGGTGATCGTGAGGTGGATCGAGACTGAAGCCTGAGGAGTTAAAGGTCATATGACAGGGCTGTCACCTCAGAGAAGAAGGTCACATCTGTTGCCTGGAATATGTCTACACTGCTGCTCTTGTCAACTGGCTGCCAATATGCTAGTGGAAAACAATCTGATGTAATTTCTGCCCAGTCAGCTTCACCTCTCAGTATAGTTGTAAATCACCATAGGTTTTCAAGCCACACTTGAAGACATGCTCTCACACGTAGATGTACACAAACACACACACTGAACACATTTCAGCTGGCATCTGTCACGACTCCCGTTCAGAGGGCTTGCATTGTCTGACTCATAATGGTTCAGGATAAAATATCATCAGGCAAAAGGATTAACTTGACAGTGGATGGTTTCTAACACTTGCTGTTGTGGAAATCCCTTTTAAAGTCTTGAGCACATGCTAATCAATAGTCCCCATTCATGCATACCTATTGCTTGGAGTAGCTGTACTGGTAAATACTACTGTAGGAGTATATGCTTGTTAAAATGGAAAAAATATGTCTTTAGAGCTCAGTATTCTTTATTTTATGAACAACAACAAAGTGTAGTAACTTTTTTTCCAGCATACTGTAGGCACATTCAAGGTGATACAAGATGGCTCTTTTTTCTATGGAGGGAGCCTGTTCTCAGTAAAGATGAGCCAACATTTGGAATTTACATGTGGGCAGATACTGGAATACAGCTTTCATCACCAACCATTGGACTTTTTGCAAAGTTGAGACCAGCTAAAGCTGTTAAAACAAGTTCTGATCATTCTATAAGAAAGGAAATGCCTGACAGACACCATGTAAGTTATAAGTGTCTGTCTTATCTTTACTACACACAAATATTGTAATAAATTCAATATCCTAGTCTTCATTTGTATGAATGGTTTGTATTGTACATAGTTTAATCAAGTGTTATTTGAGCTGCTTATTAATATTAACTTGTACTTGTCTCTCTGCTTGTTATTGGTTAAAAAAGAAAAAAAAAAGGATATGAGGAATCCATTTTATCAATGTAGCTGTGAATTCCATTAAAAAAGGAAAGTTAATGTACAAAGCATTTATTCAGCTCAAGTATTGTTGACAGCTATACACATATACCATTACAGTCTGTCTGTATTTAGATATTTTATTTCTGGACAAAATGAAGTGTACATAAAAATAAAATGCTTAAAGTTGAGTTTCAATATGTGCTTGTGTAGGATGATGATTTAAGTGGTTCTGACCAAAAGAATGTATTGAAACACATGGTTTTGCATCATATATCTCTAAACTTGTACAGAACTATCTAACCTGCTATTAGTTCCCCAGTCAAAACAACTTAAGAGTTTCCATCTCACTGCTGGAAAACAATTGTGGCATAGGGCATTGCATACATTTTTGCTTTACTGTCATGTTAATTATTCAAGAATACCAAAAAATCAATGAACACAAGGGGATCATTGAGATCTCCTAAATTAATTGCAACTGGTTGGGCTTTTTCTTGTACAGAGTTTTTATTTAGCAGGGGGATTGAGAGGAAGGTAATCTTTCTTCTTAAAAAAAAAGTCAAGGTGTCTGAAGACTGTGGCTGATATTCTACTGTAATGACTCAGCTCAATTGAGAATATTACACCAGCAGTAGAATGCTTTAGTGCTTGATTTACCTATACTAAGTGAGGTAAACTTATCTTTATAGCATTGTTTACAGATATTAAACATTTTCTTAAAAATAATTACTCTATACAATCCCAGCAAAATAAATAGAAGAAGAAATATGTAAGGTAACTCATTTTTAAAGGCACAAATTGGGGATTGGGATATGAAGAGTTTAAAAGGTCAACTAAAGAGGCTGAATAAAGAACAGTTACCCCTTCTCATTTCCCTTTCATGCTGCATAGAAAGAAAGAAATGTGTTTTCATGTAGAAAATAACAGAAGGTACTACAGGGAACCCCTAACCACAAGAGTTCTAAAGTAAGAGCTCAGTAATTGATTTAACTAATGAGAAGCTTCAACAGCAAATTAAAGATACACCATCCTGTTAAATGTCCATCTCTCAAAATTTTCCAATATAACTAGACAACCATTTATATCAAGGTATTAATTAATTTGCCATGGGATTTAGAAGCTAATGTTAAAACAGACTGTCTGGATTGCCAGGCAATACGAGCTTCATGAGTTCTAGCTGCTGGACATACTTTCCATGGCTAAATCTTGTTATTCTGGGGTTTATTTATCAAAGTGATAACTTAGGAGTTAGTTCTCTCTTAATAAAAAGGGGAATAAGTGAGAAGGGAAAGATAATGTTTTCTAGGATCATTTGCTTGGTGGACCATGACTTTCACCATGTGACCTAATCTGTCCTTTTGCTATCCACAATTCAAGATGACATGAAAATATGCTTCAACTCTGCTTGGCTGCCCTGCTCTTAGGCCTCCTGATGAAATGTTTATTTTAAAATTTTGTAATCATTCAGAACATAGATAACTAACATTCAATGAACTGAATCAGTTTTCTGTAGTTTTTCTTTAGAAGAAAAATAAAAGAAAAAGAAAAACATAGCAAACTTCCTTCTAACAATGTTTTCCATTTTTAAAATTTCAAACTTCCAGAACTTTTTTTTCCCTGGACCTGTACACACTTCTCCTAAACTCATACTTCATCAACACCTCCATTTGTAATATAGAAAGGTCATAATACAGAACTTTGATTCAAAAGACAAGCTATTTGTATCAGTATACTCTTCCTGTTTTAGACAAGGAAGTGGGTGAAGGAAGATGATGAATATGAAGTTTCAAAGGTTCAAATAAAAACTTTATCAGGGCAACTTGTTGCTTCAACAAAGTACTGTAAAGTTTTAGTTATGCCAGAAAATCATTTGTTGTTTGGAAAAAGTCAACTTTAAGCTGCACTAAGGAAACCATTTTCTTTAGTCTCAAATATTATTTCACAGCTTAGCTAAGATACAGAAAAAAACTTCAAGTTGGAAATAGATGACACCTGATGTGAACATGGGCTTGTTATTATCTATTCGTTTCAGAAACATTTTAGTAAGAGTGAAGTTATGAAGACATGATTATCACAGCTTTTTACCTCATGGAAGAAAAATTATACAAGTTATTGATTTACCTAGTGATGATAAAAACAATGAATTGTCATTGTATCGTTATAATTGGGCATTTTAGGGGATCTATGGCTTTTGTGAGAATTTTTCTGCATGAGTAAAAGGGATATAAACTGTTAACAGTTCAGTCCTGAAGTTCTGGGTGTTACTATTTGCAAGTAATTGATACACTTGTTATATTTGAAACTGTGGACTGGGAATCTTCAGGTTCCTACATTTCAGCAATAAACTGTAAGCCATATTTTTGCACAGGATAGATTAAAAAAAGTCATGAGAAGCCTGAGAAAGTGTTTGTCTTTTCCCTTGAACCCACGGTTTTACATGTAAGAACAGCTTCACCAATGAGAACAGCTCTTTGGAAAAGGAATTTGTGTCTCCACCATCAACTTTGAATGCCAAGTTTTAGCCTGAAGCAAATTCCAATGGCTGTGTTTATAAAGCTTTGGAAGACTTGATTGTTGTACCACTTTCTGACATTTATTGATATCTATTCAATTATCAATCTATTGTATATTTATCTTTTCATTTTATTTAAATAGAATGCAAATCAGTTGATGCATTCAAAAATTTAAAATTTAAAAGCATTTATTTCCATAAAAATAATTACTCTTTATCTAATTTGTAGATGACAGAAACTGAGAACCTTAATACCCAGAACTGAATCCTGAAAAACTGCTTGTTCAAACTTTTCTCAGGAGTCCCATGCATATAAAAAAGTGATTTCAGGGGTTGGGAACATGAGGAAAACAATTTTTCTTAATAAAAATTTACAGTGTATCACTTGCTAGTTTATATCTGATTCTATCAGAAATATTTTTAAGTAAATTTATAATTATTTCTCTTTTTACTAGGATGGCAAAGAACAGAAATCTCATGAGAGAGTTTCAGTTTCAATTTGTTTGTGTGAGGAAGGTCTAGAGAAACAGCCTACAATTAGGAGAGACTACTTTTGCCAAGCAACTGACCAAGTGTTCCACATTTGATTAAAAACATTTTAATGTTTATAGTTCTGCATTTGCAGGAAGATGCCTTTTATCACTGATGGATTGGAAGATGACTTCAAAGGTCCCAGAAGTGATGGGTGCAAAAAATGTACAGACCTTCTGTCAGTGGCTATAGTGGCTGTTGCCATTGCAGTTGCTAGTGGAGGTATCAGGTGTTGGTTCCCAAATTCCAACCAGTGAATTAGACACACAGCTAAAGGTCTGTTCACATCATACACCTGGCAGGTGCGGGCTCTTCAGTTCCTAATTCTATGTCAGGCCTCCAAAGAGACAAGGAGGATGACTGCTCTCTGATGATCAAATTCCTTGACTCACATATAGAAGTAAACTGTATTTGTATTAAAAGAAATAATGTTAGAATGCTACTATTGCCAAATAAGTATTTTTTTAAATAAAATATTTTTTCTGTTACTTCATCAATTTTCTGAAATGCAATTTTATTATTAAAATCAATTTCTTTGCATTTTAAACAAGTTTCCGGTAGAAAGCATAGTCAAATGACATAGCCTAAGCATGTTGAAAGTATTTCATGGAATTTTTAAAAATTTAGTATAATTTACTTATTAGCTTAGTTTCATGTGTACAACATAATGATTAAATGTTGTATATATTTTGAGATGATCTCCATAATAAATCTAGCTAACGTCTAGCACTATACACAGTTATGAATATTTTTTTCTTGTGATGAGAACTTTTAAGGTTGCTCTCTTAGCAAGTTTCAAATATGTAATACAGTGTAATTAACTACTAGAGTCCCAATGCATAGATTCATGCACATTGAAAGGAAATTAATTAGAAAGTGGTTGGTGGGCAGGACTGGGCGAGACAGGCCAGACATGCCCTGGTGCCAACTTTCCATTGTCCCTCCCTGGCTGGCCATACCTGGGGTGGTGCTGGGGCTCTAAGGGCATCTGCGGACAGAGTGGGGTCCCTCCCGCAGGTGGGGTCCCTCGGCCTGCCCTGTGGAGATCAGGCTGAAACCGGCAGTCCAACATCCCCAGAGGGGTCCCGGGGTGTGAGAGGGCACTCTACAAAGTTGCTGATGCTTGGCAGCTCCTGTGTTGAGCGTCTGCCCCCTGGTAGTCAGTGCACGTCATACCTACTGGCTGATTGGCTGGTCGGCTGATTGGCTGGTCACTTAGGCTTTTATATATACAGATAGTCACCATACTATATATTTCATTCATATGTATTTTATAACCAGAAGCATGTATACTTTGGCCTCCTTCACCCATTTTGACATCACTTCCCCACCTCTAGCATCCACCAATCTGTTTTCTGTATCTATGAGCTTGTTTTTGTGTTTTGTTTTTTAAGATTTCACATGTAAGTGAGACCATGCAATAATTCTCTCTCTCTCTTTTTTTTATGTATCTCAGTATAAGGCCGTCAAGGCCCACCCACCAATAAATACAAGGAAACTGTCCTTTTAACAGAGAGAAAACCATATTCTAATTTTGCACCAGTATACTTTTGATATTAAACTCCTTTTTATAAGTTAATTTTGGCAATCACACCCAGACATAGAAAAATATCACATCTTTAAGATATATATATCTCCATAAACATACAGGGAGATGCAAACAGAAAGGTTATAGTTTCCATTCTAAAATTTTAGCCATGAATCAAGCACAATACAAAACTTGCTAGTTTATAAACAACCTATGAGGGAAGGCAGGCAGTGGTCGGCAAACTCATTAGCCAACAGAGCCAAATATCAACAGTACAATGATTGAAATTTCTTTTGAGAGCCAAAATTTTTAAACTTAAACTATATCGGTAGGTACATTGTTATTAACTTAATTAGGTTACTCCTAAGGCTTAGGAAGAGCCACACTCAAGGGGCCAAAGAGCCTCATGTGGCTCGGGAGCTGCAGTTTGCCCACCACAGGTAGGGGGTAAGAGATCTACCAAAGGACTTATATGCATTCATATGAACATAACCAACGGACACAGATGGGGGAGCGGGGGAAGGATTGTACTGGGGGTTGGGTGCGGCTGGGGGGAGGTCAATTGGGGAAAAAGGAGACTTATGTAATACATTAAACAATAAAGAACTTAATTTTTTTTTTAAAGAACAATTGGAACAAAATTGTGTTTCTGGCAGATGGACAAAGTTGAAGTAACCTGTTCAGATGACCAATGATTTTTATTAAAGGTATTTTATTTGCATGTTGTAAGAATTGTTTTTGAGCTATTTTTCTTTTTCTGTCTCACCCCACCCCCATCTCCTTCTTTAGAGGAAGGAAAGAAATATGGTTTCATTGAACATTTTAACTCAATACCTAGGGGTTGATGAAACATAATTTTATGCCATTTTTCTGAACTCTAAAAAACAGTTAACTTTCTTTGAGCTATTTTTCATGTTCTTTTGTCTTTTAGAAGCTTCTGCATACTACAGAATGCCTTCCCTTGGCAGAGGTTTGAGACTCTCTTGTCAAGGGAGGGCCTTAAGGTGGACTTAGATTTGTTAGTTTCCCCAAAGTGGCCACTACAATCCCAAATCATCCAAAATGTTAACCATTTCCTATAAAGGCACAAGATCCTGCTCCACAGTGGGTATACATATAGGAAGCAGTTTTTATTTTGAAGGAAAAAAAGAGTTTTAGACCAGGTGGAACCCACCTTTGCCTAGGTTGCCTAAGAGGTATGAAGTAGCAGCTGTTTCTTAACAGCTGTTTCAAATCTGGGAATCACATGTTTTCCTCCCTTTTGAGCAGAATAGGGTTACTTACCAAGAAGCGTCACCAAACAAAACACAGACCTGCACCATCAAGTGGGAAAGCTCACAATTCAGAGAGCTGAGCTCAGGTCCGAGAATGATTTACTCCCAAACTTCAGGGTCAGCGAGAAAACAGTGCAGCCAATGGACTGTGGGTACCAGCACCCTTTTGTTCACTGGCCTCCGAGTTTTTGGGGTCTTCCTTGGATCTCACTTTGGAAGCCATGAGCTGTCAAAAGTTTAGAAATAAATGAATCACCAGAGCAGTAATCAGCCAAAGTTTATTGTGCGTACACCAAAAGACAGCTTGTAACTGGGAGCACTCCAAGCAAAACATGGAGTGAGACCTAGGGGTATATTGTTACAAAGCAGCTTATATAGTGAGGAAGCAGGGACTGTTTATTCTTCACAGTGATTGGTGATCATATTCAATTTTTCTTAAATTAAGGGGGAATTGGATAGTGGTTGCCTCATCAATTTTGGGGAAATGTTTTGCTTATGATTTCTAGAGGTATGAGCAAGAAATGATGTGGGTCAAGTTAGACTTGCAAAATAAACGAAATTAATTTTTGTTTGTATGATTACGTGATTTGATTACGTGTAGGATTATGTGATTTGTCTGCTCAGGAAATTTTCAAGGTCGGTCTTCGTTTTTTTTTTTTTTTTTTTTTTATTTTAACAAGTTAAAAAAACACAGGTGGCACCTGTTGGCGGCTTTAGTAAGGCAGAAAGAGCTTGTGAAGTGGTGTCTGCCAGGGGGGCCCTGTTTCAAAATTAGCAAATGAATTGCTTTCACGTGAGGCCTAGGGGGCTTTTCAAAGGGCCCAGCTGGGCCTGACTCAGGTAGTCTGCTCTGGCCCTTTAAAAGCCCGTCCTCAGTTCCCCACAATCTTGTGTGGGTCTCTTGGACGCCAGTCCTGCCAGTTTCAAAGCCAGCTGTTTTGGGGCCTCCTCTCTCAGGTTCAGGTCTTAAAAGCTGGGGTGCTTGATGTGGGGTCTGAACCCTTCGCTCCTCAGAAAGAAGCCCCTGGTTTTCACGAGCCTCCTCCTGACTGTGGTGGGGTTTATAGTGAGATGGTGTCTCATCCTCGCCGACCAGCTTGCAGTGGGCTCCTCGCATGTGCCCGATGGAAGGCGTGCCTCTGCTAGTTAGTTGTTAGAGGAAATTGCCCACATGCAGCAATAGATTTGTGCTGCGCAGAGGAGGAGGTGACATCAAGATCTTTCTGCGTTGCCATCTGAACCAGAACTTACGACCTTCTTAAAAGAGGTAAGCAATGATTCTTTTCTTTTTTGAAAAACAAATATTTGTATTGATTTCAGAGAGGAAGGGAGAGGGAACAAGAGATAGAAACATCAATGATGAGAGAGAATCATTGATGGGTGCCTCCTGCACGCCCCGCACTGGGGATGGAGTCCACCCAGAGCCGTGACCTCCTGGTTCATAGGTCGATGCTCAACCATTGATCCACGCCTGCCAGGCAGACTATTTTCTTTTATTACTCCCTTCACCCCAAAGAGAAAGGGGTGCAAGTCCTGGATCATAGCTAATACCTACTGGGCACTTAAGGATGAGCCCTTTCCTGTGCTGAGCAGTGTCCATGCGGTCCCTCATTTAAGCAGCGCAGCTTTATGGGGTAAATGCTCCTATTCTGACCCTGTTGCAATGAGGAGTTGATGCTTGGAGGCAGGCGGTGACTTACCTGAGAATTGCCTAAGCCAGTCGACTACTGTGGCAGCCAGTATGGTTCCCCAAACCCGTCTTTGTGAAATCGTGTTGATGTAGGGCCAGAAGTGTCTTTGAGCTTCATAAGGATGGAAAGTTGCAGGGCAGGGGATGAAAATAGCTATGATGTAATTTTGAATGACCACTCAGTCCCTGCATAAGAATGTTGTTTCAGGGAAATCCTACAGTATGTTTAGGAAAGTGTCAACAAATGGCTTCAGTTTTTTTTTCCCCCTCAAAAATGAGTGAAGTAATTTTAATATAGTTCTCAGTCAACACTCTTCATGTCATTTCATAATGTGTCCTTCTGCTACACACCTTGAATTGTTTTTCCCCCACCGAGGGAAAACAAAAATGCGTGGCTGTGTTATGCATAAACCTTAAGTGGGTGGAGAAATTCGGAAGGATTGCTCAGTCTTTTTTCTGTCATGTTTCATTTTGTTGCTGTTTCTACATCTTATTCTTAAATGAAACACACCAAAAAAACTGTAACCATTTTCTTGCTTTACTTTCTCAAGTTTTTTAGAGACCTGATTTATATACAAAAACAGGGAGTAGAATATGTACGTAGTGGTACTTTTGCCTGTTGTAGCCTGGCCCTCTGAATATAACAGGGATACTTGTTCCAATATTTCCTAATATTGAAAATTAACATTCTTTAGCTATAATGAAACTATAATTTAACTATAATTCAGAAACTATAATGGTTTATACTCCAATGGTTTAACTAGAATCAAGTTCAAAATATTGTCATGTTATAGAGAATTTTGAGTCCTCTTCTTGTTGTTAACTAAGCTGATCTCCACTTTTTAATTTTACCCCAAATTTAAGGAAAAATTGAGTTTATCATTAAAATCACACTTGTGTTTAAGTCTGAAATACTTGTAAAATTTTCCTCCCCATAAGTTATAAAAA